AAAGCCGGAGTCTAGGTTTTTGGTTGATGTCCGAACAAATTTCGACTTAACTTTTAATACGTACTTTCTCCACAGGGCTTGGTTTTTTAACTATTACTTTGAGGTAATTATCTAATGGTTTTGAATGTGAATGAGCAGGGGTGGATCTAGAATTTTCTCGAGGGGGGGCGGATTTTCAAAAATTTTTTAGGACTTTTTTTTAGGTAGACCAAATTGATTTTCCGAGCTCTCCCAAATCACTCTAAAGTCCCTGTTTTGGTCAAATTTTCTGCGCCGCAGGCAAAATTTTGAAAAACAGGCCAAACAAGGCGTGTTTTTAGGCACTTTTTGAAAAATTTCGACTTAACTTTTAATACGTACTTTCTCCAAAGGGCTTGGTTTTTTAACTATTACTTTGAGGTAATTATCTAATGGTTTTGAATGTGAATGAGCAGGGGTGGATCTAGAATTTTCTCGAGGGGGGGCGGATTTTCAAAAATTTTTTAGGACTTTTTTTTTAGGTAGACCAAATTGATTTTCCGAGCTCTCCCAAATCACTCTAAAGTCCCTGTTTTGGTCAAATTTTGTGCGCCGCAGGCAAAATTTTGAAAAACAGGCCAAACAAGGCGTGTTTTTAGGCACTTTTTGAAAAATTTCGACCAAAAAATCACGTTTTTTGGCGCGCGCTCCCCCCTCAAAATTAGTATATATTGGCACCCTTTTAAGAAAACTTTTAGGGTCCGTCGTGAAATATGGATATCTCAAAATAGCACAAAGGGGGGCCCTTTGAGTTGGTAGGGGGTTGAATCCCTAAAAAAAGGCGTCCGCACTTCTAGAACACATGATTTTCGTGCACTTCTAGAACACTATAATGGCCCTATTTAAACCAATTTTTGCGTCGCTGGCAATTTTTTGCGTCGCTGGCAATAATCCATTTTTGATTATTATCCATGAAACTCCAGTGCGGGTAGCCAGGGTATCAAAATTTTCAGATTGTCAAAGCTCCCATAATTCAGAGAAAATCTGTCGAGAATATCTGGATGAAGGCGAAACATACCGAAAAAAAACACCTCGAGCGCCAATATTTTGTCTTTTTTGTCAAAATTCGGTGCAGCATAGGCTTCTTATTTGAGATCGAGTTGAATCAATAAGTTGGCATTTTTATCAGGTGCGGATCTAGGAATTTCTCCACGGGAGGGGAAACATGCCAAAAATTGCAAAAAACAGGCCGAAAATTGCGTTTTTAGGCCATTTTTGGAAAATTTCGACCAAAAAATTGCGTTTTTGGTGCCCGCTGCCCCTCAAAATTAGTATAGATTGGCGCCAGTGGCGCCTTTAGAAAAATTTTAGGGTCAGTCAGCCAAAAATGGATATCTAAAATAGTACAAAGAGGGGATCCTTTGGATCGGCATGGTCGAATACCTGAGGGGGGGGGGGGGGGATCGTATCCCAAAACCCGGTACTGGTTTTCTATTCTTACAAAACAGAGAGAAGCAAATACCTACTCGCTCGCTTCATTTGCTCGAAATTAGACAAAAACTCTTAGGAAAAAAAGAAAAAATAGACAAAAATAAAACTTTAAACCGGTTTTTCTCGACTTCGGGGCGATTTTCCGAAAAAGTTTTGAAGTCTTTTGAAAGACATCTTTAATATGATATATCACTAGACCCACTCCGATGATTTTTTTGGTGCCAGAATTTTGCTAGAAAAAGAGAAAAATTAAAACATTCCCAAAGAAATAGATACTCTCCATTTCCAATTGTCGAAACAAAAAATCACAAAATTCAGATGATTAGGTTTCTGTAACATTCATTTTGTGACTATGAATACCAAATTGTGATCAATTTAGTTCGCTTCAGTTCACTTTGGAATGAGTTCGGAACCGGTTTAAATTGCTGCCTACTCTACGAATTAAACAGAAGTTTAAGGTTTCGCGCAAATTAAAACTTCCAAATTGGAAAATTTGGCAATTTTCAAATCACCATAACTTCATAAAAAGCGGTGAACTCAAAAAAAGGTGCAATGATCCGCTAGAATATCAATATCTTTCAGATTGTCTAAGTTCCCATAATTCACAGAAAAATCTGTCGAAAAGTTCTGTATAAGAAGTCGAAGCATACCGGGGGAAAAACAACTCGAGCGCCAATATTTTGTCACTTTCGTCAATATTGGGAGCAACATAGGCTTTTTGAGACCAAGTTAAAGTAATAAGTTTGCGTGTTTATCCTTACACACAGAGAAGCAAGAGAGCGTTTCAACTAGGTTGCTGCTAGCTTGCTTTATTTTCAGTACTTACAAAACATGATCTAGAAAAACCAATACCGAGAGATATTGTCTTGCATTTTTTCCGTCTGCAGATTAGCGGAGTTCACGCAGGGGGAATAAACAACTTACTACATTCTATCTTCTGATCCTTTTTAATCCATCGTCTTGCGCAGCATAAAATCCAAGAATTAAAATGACAAAGCCGGAGTCTAGGTTTTTGGTTGATGTCCGAACAAATTTCGACTTAACTTTTAATACGTACTTTCTCCACAGGGCTTGGTTTTTTAACTATTACTTTGAGGTAATTATCTAATGGTTTTGAATGTGAATGAGCAGGGGTGGATCTAGAATTTTCTCGAGGGGGGGGCGGATTTTCAAAAAATTTTTAGGACTTTTTTTTTAGGTAGACCAAATTGATTTTCCGAGCTCTCCCAAATCACTCTAAAGTCCCTGTTTTGGTCAAATTTTCTGCGCCGCAGGCAAAATTTTGAAAAACAGGCCAAACAAGGCGTGTTTTTAGGCACTTTTTGAAAAATTTCGACCAAAAAATCACGTTTTTTGGCGCGCGCTCTCCCCTCAAAATTAGTATATATTGGCACCCTTTTAAGAAAACTTTTAGGGTCCGTCGTGAAATATGGATATCTCAAAATAGCACAAAGGGGGGCCCTTTGAGTTGGTAGGGGGTTGAATCCCTAAAAAAAGGCGTCCGCACTTCTAGAACACATGATTTTCGTGCACTTCTAAACACTATAATGGCCCTATTTAAACCAATTTTTGCGTCGCTGGCAATTTTTTGAAAAAGCAGGTCAAATATTCCGTTTTTTGAATGAATGAACCCTGTATCCAGGATGCAAGTTCGGTTGAGTGACAAATTTTTATAAAATATTAAAATTTCACCATGCTTAGAACTTTTTTCAGTTTTTCTGATGTCGCTTTTATGAGCCTGAAATGCACAAAATAGTTACTGAGTTCACCAATTTAAGTTTATATTAAGATTTTTGAAAAAAAAAGACTGTTAAAACAAGAAGAATTGTTGATATTTTGAAACCTTGCGAAAAGTTCTAATTTTGCCCTGCAGATCGTTTTTTACCGTAGGAATGTATTTGGACAAAAAACTAAATCGAATTCAAATTGAAACTTTTTGGAGCCGAAAATTCTTCCTGTTAAGTTTCGATTAGGGTAGAAAGAAGATAAAGCGCGCACTAATTAGCCAACTCATTAAATAACGAACATTTCAAAAACCACCAAAATGGAGGGTTTCAAATGTTACTTATACGAAGATTTGCATATTTTAGCTAACTGGCTGAATAACATTATAAAACTATATTCAGTTCTACCGACAGGGATCACAAGAATCAAGCTATTTTTAGTATTGCTGTCAAAAGACATTTAAGTGAACTCTAAAAAATATACATGAAGGACTCAAAGCTTTTAGCATCCGTTGTTGTTTATCACTTTGATCTTTGTTATCCGAAGGTTTTAGCATTTCATCAGTATAAATGGTCTGTAAAAATGCCATTGGGTAAAAATAATAAATTACTATTTCACAAAAGGATAGCTCCACGTCCAGTAAAAAAGCGTCTGTTCATTTTTCATTATGAACACCTAAGGGATATTTTTCATTTTCCCTTGAAGAAATAAATGAGACTAACAAAAAACCTTTTGCTGCTTGTCTTGTTCTTCCTGAGACGAATCAGATTTGGAATTGAAAAGACTTCATGTGAAAACATCAGTTTGATGCTTTGACTCGAAGTTCATTCTCGGGTTATTTAGCATCAACCATAGAACTAGGCTGAATAGAAACCGAAATGCTTTTCATTTGATTACTATTTGTTTCAACAAAAAACAAGTGGCTAATCACAAACCGAGCCCGAATTGAAAAATCTGCATTACAATTTAACACTTTATATCCCTGATTCTGGTTTTTGTTTCTGTTGGCTCCGAAACAAAAGAAAGCTTCCTTATTTTGTATCTAAATTATCGTGTCATGGGTTCCTTTGCGCTAAAAAACTAATTTTCTTTAAAACGAATATCTAGACAAGGAAGCGGGAATACTTTGACTCTCCCTCATTCATAATTTCCTGCCCTGTCAACAATCAGACTCCCATTATTAGCTTTCAACTGGATGATTACGCCCCATTGATTTTTAACTTAGTTTGAAACTGTTAAAATAATTTTTCTGTATTAACATTTCAAACCGCAGCGTTTTGTTCCGCCACATTGAAACTACAGTCAAATGGTAAAAAAATTATATCACTCAGTTGATTGTTAAAGTTTCATCGAAGAGTTTGGCGATGTCGCCAACTTTGTGCAATTGTCTCCAACTTGTCTTCTTGACCCATTTGTCGACTGGGGCCAACTTCACTGATGCCCTAATTGCCGAGGAGTTGCCAGACGAAGTACGATTGCGACTCAAACTGGCCAAAAACTACGATCCTTCTGCTCGTCCTGTTGTTTCAACGAGCACACTTGTAAATGTCACCTATAAAGCCTCAGTATACCAGCTCGTAGGTTTTAACACAAAGGACCAGACTATCAAAATGCTCATGTTCCAGCGGATGGAATGGGTCGACGAACTATTGCAATGGGATCCGGAAGATTACGGAGGTCTGAACTGGATCCGGTACTACCGGAACTCAGTGTGGACCCCCGACATTCTGGCGTACAACGATGTGGGAACTTTTGACATGGAGAAATATGACCGGTCGATTCCACTGACAGTTTACAGCTCTGGTCTTGTGGTATGGACACGGCCAGTGGATTATGAGACGATGTGTTCCCTGGATGTGACTAATTTTCCTTTCGATACCCAGAAATGCGACATTGTGATTGGCTCTTGGCAGTATTTTGAGAGCGAGGTCAACATCACATGTATGCCAATTGACCTCTCGTCTTACATGGAGGACAGCCTTTGGACCCTGAAAGGTCAGATGATTGTTTTTTATTTGTTTCTCTGTAAATTAGGTAGGACTCTAGATGTGTGATGTCTGAGATAATGTGAATAAAATACAATACCTTTTTGTTTCCAGTTTAATACCATTTCTCCTAAAATTCTGCCGATGGCACGAGCTATAATACAAATCAGAGTCATGCATTTTTAATCCGCACTTGAGTTTGCAAGCAAAAATTGACTCAAGACTGCTCCTATCAAGGCGAAGCGGATCAATAGTTCTGAATAATCTAGCTGCCATTAATATCCTTGGAGAAATTTTTGAAAAATTCACAAAAAAAATTAAAAAATTGAAATATTGATTTTTGGTTTTTTAAGGTCCACTCACCCGCTATTCCATTTACAAATTGATCTTCTTAGCGTCTAGTAGCGGATGAATTACACCAAAAATCTCGCCTCAAATTAATTTGAAACGATTTATGAGTGGATTTAACAGCCTCTTGAGCTTTAATAGCACGAAATATCTATATTGTCAAGTTTTCAACCATTATTAACTGGTTGCAGGAGTTTTTCCAGGGGGGTTTCATTGAAATTCAGGCTCTCTTTAAACCCTGAAATTCCCTTTTTTCACAAATATTATTGCGCCGCAGACGAACTTTTCAAGAAACAGGCTAAAAATGACGGTACAGGGCAGTTCTTGGAACGTTTTGAATAAAAAAATTGTGGCACGCGACTCCCATCCCCACGATCCTAGGAACTTAGACGACAGTAAGGAAACGGAAGTTAAGGACAACCAGCATTTACTCAGCTAAAATTTAATTTAAGTCTGTAAACAAATTTCACGCAATTTCACGCAAGTTATTGTCTAAATTCCGTGATTTTCTGATCGTCTAATTTGCTTGTCGTCTAATCTCCTAAACCCCATCTTTTTATATCAGCAACGGAATGCCGAAGGCTGTCAATGGATGCGGCGAGGGGTTCCAACACTTTCGGCAGAATCTCAATATGTGTGATCTTCAAAAGAATGTCCTCTTTCTACATCCAAAATCTCATCCTGCCCAACGCTATTCTAATGTCTATGAGTTCTTTGACTTTCTTCATTCCTGGTGAAAATGGAGAAAAGGTCACATTCGGAGTGACCTTGACCCTGGCGCTTTGTGTCAACTTGTCACTTGTGACTCAGTATGTTCCACAGACGTCTAAGACTTTCCCGAGGATCTGCACGTATATATTCTCCAGTATTGTCCTCTCATGTGTTGCAATAGTCCTGGCCACTTTTTCGCTCAATGTGTCCAAAAACAGACAACCCGACGATATATATCATGTGAACAGCAACGAGTTTTCAGTCGCGACTACAAATATGTCGGGAAAAGATATCGTTGGCAATGATGCAGATGGATCGATTCCTTTGGAGGAGTTGGGCACGAGAAATAAGCGACTCAAAAAAATTAAAGCAAAATTGCTGAAAAAAGTTTGTCGTCCCAAAATTGACGTCATAATGGGAGTTCTCGGTTTCATAGGAACTTCTCTGTACTCGATTCTTTTCCTTTACATGATGCTAGAATGAAACATATCAATAACAGAAGAACGGGGTTCAATTCATATCAACAGCAGAAGCTATAATGAATACATCATTGGAGTCTCAAACTCAAAACTGTTTCTAGAATGCACAGTTATATTCATATAAAATTTCAAAGATAGCTGTAGTTTTAGTGTTGCATGGAAAATTCAATCCTCGTAATTGTGATCAACCAAATTCAAAGGTTAGAAAAATGTTTCCCTCATTTTTCTAAAATAATACTTTTTTTCGCAACGTTCTTCTTTCTTTCTTCGCAAAAACCTTTTGACATGAGTTAATTTTGCTCAAAACAGGACTTTTATTCAGCAAGTCAATTTATAATTTTTAATTTAATGATTTATAATTAAAATAAGGGCTGTGGATTGCAGTGATGGAAACACGGACATTTCAACGAAGAAATTTAAAAAACAAGGAAAATTATTATTGAAAATTAACTGAATTCTCTGAAGTTTTCCAAAATTACTTCGCAGAATTCCTCTTCTCGCTACCGAATAAAAAAATAATCACAATCAGGGGCGGATCTAGGATTTTATCGAGATGGGGGGGGGGGATTTCTAATAGTTTTCAAAACTTTTGTGACCTTTTTTTCATGTCGACCAAATTGATTTTCCGAGCGCCCCCAGAATACTATAAAGACTTTGTTTTAATTAATTTTTTGTGCCGCAAGCAAATTTTTGAAAAACGAGGTCAAAAACTCTATTTTTGGGCACTGTTTGGAAAGTTTTCGGCGGTAAAATTGTGTTTTATTTGGCGAACGCTCTCCTTCAAATTTAGTGTGTATTGGCGCAAAGGTGCCTTTTGAAAAAAAATAAAGGGTTGGTCGGCAAAAATGGATCTAATAAAATAATACCACAGAAGGACCCTTTGGTTAGTGAGGGGGTTGAATCCCTGGGAAAGATGCGCCCCCCGCCCCCTGTCACTATTTACTATCAGTACTAAATTTCACTGTTCTCATACAAGCTTTCTTGAGATATCTTAAGTCTTCTAGGAAGGTTTTGGGAAAAGGCTTCGATGCTGCTGGTTGAGTTTTGAAAACTAGAGATATCAGTTGATCTGCGACTCACTTTAATTTGCGGCGTAGGTACGCGATTCAAACTGGTGAAATAATAGCCATTCAAGGATTTATTTCAAATGAAGTCATCGGCTCAAAAACCATAAGGGCTCCTACTGCTCTCAACACCCCGCTTGTGATGTGATTTTTACATTAATTTATCTTAATGTAAACTTAAGTTCACATTGCGCGATGGTTATGAAATCTGGCCAGGGCGATAACCATCCAAGTCCAAACGTGTGGTGTTCTCAAAACCATTCATGAAGCCAATGCATCAAGCACAAATTACATTTTCGTCCATAGGGAAGGAGCAAAAGAGACAAAATCCGATTGCAAAATCCGATGAGCAAATTGATTTGAAAAAATATCAAAAAGCTTATAGGTCAACTTCTAGTTCTCGAGTGCTTTTCCGCTTTTCCTAAAGAATTGCCCAAGAAAATAACAATCGAGCAGCGCCAGTTAAAACGGTTAGTCGTGTCGATAAGGTAAAAAAAATGCTGGGACAAAAAGCCATCGTCTCCTTGGAGTGACAGATGTCAGTTCAAGAAGATTACTGTCAGATTCATAGATAATCTTTTGAGGGCAGTACAACACTGCCGAAGTACAACAGTGCCGAAAAAATAGTTCAACTGTGCCACATCTGAAAACTTTGTTCAACAGTGCCGAAAATTTGAACAAATTTGAAAAAATTAAATGCCGCAATCAAAAATTAAACGGCGATTGATTACAACCTTAAGTGACACTTTACTATTTTGAGCTAAAAAATTACAATTAACTTCATTTCTTTTCTAGACGTTTTGTAAAGTAGTAAAATTTCATTTTGTACTTTTTATTTCGCGTGTGGGGAAGATTGTCAAAATCAGAACATCAAAAAATATCAAAAACTTTTAAATGTTTTATTTTCTGAAATTTTAATGAAAAAATTGTTGTTCATAGATTTTAAGAGGCATTTCTTTTTTCCAAACCTGAAGGTTAGTCAGCGGATAAATTTGGTGATTTTTGAATAAAAAAAACAAAAAAAAAAAACAGGAAAGCCGGTTACTGAGCAAATTGTACAGAGTACTCCGATCATTGATTTCAAATTCTGGCAGAAGATGGATAGTTTTTTCTAGATCTCAGTTAACCTAACTATACTGACCACTTCGAGGAACTATGAGTTAGAGATTTTTTTCCGCGATTCAAGAATGTTAAATAGCACTCCTCAGACCTTCAGTCTATATGGTATTATTCTCATTTTCAAAAACAGTGCGGAAAATTAACGCTTGAGGTGTTTTTTTTTTTTGCGTGGAGATTGATCATTGGGAACTAGGGATTAAAGAGCGGGTGTGCTTGCACTAAGTTCGGTTGGAGATTTTTCGCGTACATTTTAATACTTTTTAATACGCTAACTATACCACTGGAGTGAATTATCGCGCACTCATAATAGTTTCAAAGTGAAATGATTCCAAATAATGACATCGTTTAATGTATGACTCAAAATTCAGCTTGATATATTTCATGTTTGATAAATTTGGAAATCAAAAATTATATTTTACTCCGCGACCAAAAATGGGAAGTCCTAAACTTTGAAACTCTGTCCGGATATACGAGCAACTTTTTTATGACTAATTCATGGTAAGTTTTAGGAAAATTTTTGCGGCAGACAATAATTGACTTTTAATCAAATAGATTTGGCCATGTTTTATACTTAAAGCTTACTTCGAGATGTATCCCAACTATGACTCTTTGTTGTGAAAAAAATGTGGTTTGAAATAGCCAAATCGTCCAGTTTTGAACTAGCAATGCGAACAAAACACACAGTTTCCATTAACGCGTAACAAATGCGCCGAACTCATCCGGCTCGGAAAGCCTTTGCTGTTTTTTGCAGGCAAAACTTATAAGGTTTAGCTTATTTAATTGATAGAAGATACCAACAAGACTGCTCGTATCAAGGGGAAGCCCTGAATGTTCCGACTGTCTTTTAAGGTTCATGGAGCAGTAATTACATAAATATCATTACCATATTAAATGTAATTAAAAAAAATGAAAATTTTTTTTTTCTAAATTTGAAAATTTTTCTGTGAAAATTATCCAGTTTTGAGGTTAATCACCCCCACACGCCATATAAAGTACAAAAGAATAGATTTCGCTCCTATTAACTAATCAACTATGGCAAATTAGCTTCCTTGAACCACTTTGGAACGATTTCTAAGACGGAATAAATCTCCGCTTACGCGTTTATAGCGCGAGTTATATCGCGCGTTAATTGTCCCAAATTGACCAAAATGGCAATCTTTAAACCCCCATAACGTTACAAAAAAAGATCACAGGTGAAATATCTTTTCAAATTTAAGCTCAGGACAACAGTACCTTTTGAATGCTATTAAAATTTCCGTCAAAAATGGCTAGTTAAAAAGTCGATATTTGTCTGAAGAAAAAAAACCCCACCCCGAGCATAAATATTCCGTTACTTTCGCATCGAAAGTCGGAACAATTACATTACTTTCTGTTTTCATTGAGTGTGTGGGAATGATTGGGTGTGTGTGTTTTAATTGGGTGTGTGAGAATTTTTAACCACAGCTTGAAAACTAAGATTACTCGAGAAACCAGTAGTTTTGTCTGTTTTATATAAAATTTAGCCATTTTTAATCTATCGTCATTGGAACTTAATAGAGTCGCCAGTTAAAGGAAACAACAAAAATTTACCCTTCTAAATTTTACAAGCATATAGAAAACTGTTTTACCAGCAGACTTTTGAAAAGGTTAGCATTTTTTAACGTGGTTAGATCATTCTCCGATAACTGCACAGCAAACTGATACTAATACTGTACCATATATCTATTGGGCTTAATAATTAGGACACCTCCAAAACGCTGGTTTAATCTACAGTTCTGGTTAAAAATTTTAAAAATTAATTCAGTTGGTTATTTTTTGAAAAGAAAATATTTTTTTTTCGACAACTAAACAGATTTGGTGATATAACATAGCTTTTACTCAAAAAAATTTTATTTTGGAAAGATTTTAGCTAGTTTTTTACATCTTGTTTAAAAAACCTATCAAAACCAGGTAGTAATTAAGTGAAGATAATTTCGGAAATTTCAGGAAAACTTTTTTTTTTTTTTTTCAAATAATTTTATCCAAAAAAATTGGAATTTTTTTTCAGTTTCGTGGTTTCTGTTTTGTTTGAACGAGTTATTTATTACGGTTTGTAATTACTGTTCAATAGACCTCAAAATGCAGTCGGAACATTCAGGGCTTTGCCCTGATACGAGCAGTCCTGTGCCGACTTTGGTAACGAAAGTAACGGAATATTTGTGCTCGAATGGTTTTTTTTTCTTCAGACTTTTTTGACTTTTTAAGTAGACATTTTTTAAGGTTTTTTAATCATTGAAAAAAAAATTATCGTTTGAGTTTAAATTTGGAAAGATATTTCACCTGTGATCATTTTTCATAAAGGTATGGGTGTTTAAAAATTGTATTTGGCCAATTTGGGACAATTAACGCGCGATATAATTCGCGCTATTAACGCGTAAGCGGAGATTTAATCCGTCATAAAAATCATTCCAAATGGCTGAAGGAAGCTTATTTGCCATAATCGATTTGTTACTAGAAGCTAAATTTACACTTTGTGTTTTTTATGGCATGTGGGGGTATGACTTTCACAAAAAGTTTCAAATATAAAAAACTCATTTATATTGATTACATCTAATTTTTTCATATTTTTACTGCTCCATAGGCTTTAAGAGGCAGTCGGAACATCAGGGCTTCGACCTGATACGAGCAGTCTTGTTCACCTAATTTATCACTTCATCTCTTCAATTTGAGGCCTTTTCCATTATTCCACTATTCATTATCATTCTATTCATTATTATTCCACGATCCATTTTCCACTATTCATTATTTTCGCAGGAGTTAATTTTATTGTATCGCAACGCAAATGCCGCAAAGCTCTACAGTGTTACTGTGTCAAATCATTAAACACGTGTTCCTCGACACATCTTTTGAGAAACTCACCCACTGCACCTCAGAAGTTGAAAGACTAAGACTTTAATTAAATCAAATATTATTAACTTCATTTGGAAGAGTGTTTCTTTACGACATATTTC